CCCCAGGTCTCTTCCACCTGAGTGAGCTCCAGGAGGTGACTTGCCTTCAGTGCATCGCACTGGGCCTCACAGCTCTTCAGCTTCTTCTCCAACGCAGTGAGGGAGCACACGCTGCTGAGATAAGCGTCGCTGTCAGCGTTCTTTTGCTTCCGCAAGCTCCGCATGAATGCGTCCTTCTGTCTGGCCTTATCCTTTAGCTTGGTGTTTTCGCTGGTCAGGCTGTTTGAAGTTTCCTTCAGAGAAGCGATTTCATCCTGTAGAACCTCCACCTTCTTTCCCAAGATCTCCTTCACCTGAGTGAGCTCCAGGAGGTGACTTGCCTTCAGTGCATCACACTGGGCCTCACAGTTCTTCTGCTTCTTCTCCTTCTGAGCAGTGTTTCGCTCCTGGAGAACCTCCACCTTCTTTCCCCAGGTCTCTTCCACCTGAGTGAGCTCCAGGAGTTGACTTGCCTTCAGTGCATCGCACTTGGCCTCACAGCTCTTCAGCTTCTTCTCCAACGCGGTGAGGCTGCCCAGGCAGTCCATGTAAGCATTGGTTCGAGCTCGCCTTTTCTTCGTCTCCCTCTGTATGAGCCCGTCCTTTTTCTTGAGCTCTTCTTTCAGAGCTTTAATCTCGTCTTCAGGGCTCAGGAGTTTCTTCTGGACAACGTTCTGCTGCTTCATTGTCGGTTTGTAGAAGTTGTCGTTACAATTGAGGGAAATCAGCGTCTCAAATGGTGGTTAAATTTCTTGCTTCTGCTCTGTTCAAGATCCAGGAGGCAACTGAAACAGTGGACCCAGTTCAATGGCAGGAGATCACTGGCGTGACTTTGATGACTTTGATGACTTTAATTGGGCATTGTATCATTTCGAATGTACAACCCTTAAAGGTACAGTGCTTAGAATTTTGTGATGTCTAGGATATAAGGATTGAGGATGTAACCGTGTCCAGCAGATGGCGGTGACGCAACAACAGTGACGGCGGCGAGATAAACAGGGAGTGAAGAAGAGGACTGCGGGGGAGCTGCCTGCATCACCAGGAACTCTCAGAACCGGACGGGAGAAGAAAAGATGGCGTTCACATTCGCGGCCTTTTGTTACATGCTCGCCCTGCTGCTCACGGCGGCGCTTATCTTCTTCGCTATCTGGCACGTAAGTACACACGCGGGCGGCCTCGGGGCGGACCGCGGGCCCCCGGTTCAGCGACGCCGGTACGACCGGCTGCAGGAGCCGGGGGGAGGCTCCGGCCGCGGGCTGACGGGAGGCCGGCGGACAGGGCGCAGATCTCCACGCAGCCTGGATGGGACGCGTCCACGGGGAACTCCGCGTTCTGCTCCCTGCGCGCATCCAGTCTGTCTGTAGATCTGCCGCGTTCTCTAGAATGAATGGAACACACCCTGCTAGCGGCTAACAGCTAAACGCAGCATTTCAACCACCGAAGCTTTGTTTTCACTAACGCGTCGTATTCTCGTTGTCTCTCAACGCTCGTTGGCTTCTCGTGAGCCGCTGCGCAGTTTTAACAAACCTCCATTTCCCGCGACAAGCGTGTTGAATGTGAAGTGTTTAGCTAGTCGGCTAGTTAGCCGGCTTAGCTAACAGGCGCCATCCTGCTGTCACCCGCGAGCTCGCGTTTCTTTAGCCACATTAGCTTTAGCTGCACTGTCAGAATGTCAACACGTTGCCGCGGAACAAAACTTTGACGTGTTCGTGTTCGTGGCTCGAATAGTTTTATCGTTCACGTCGATCTGGTGCGTTTGGTTTCATTCCGCCACAAGACAACACGTGACCCACTTGTTAGAATAAAAACAAGACGTTATAAAATGAATAACTCAGATGATAAAAGAGGAATAAACTCTGAAGTGTGACTGACAGGTAGAAGTTTAAATACTTGGAATAGAACGATATGAATAAACGTTTCATTGTGAACATATTCCTTATTATTTTCACTTTCTTAAGGTCCTGTCTCAATAGTTTTTTTTTTAAATTGACTGCAAATCTCAAGTCGATTAGTAAATAATTAAGTCATTAGCAAATCAAAACTATGAATCATTATTCATTAAAACTTCTTAAATATGAGGATTCGTTGTTTTTATTCCCTGTCAATAGTTTTGTTTCTTTACCAGACAGAACAAACGATGACGGCTTCACCTCTTTGTCATTATCTTCTTACATTAGATGAGCAAAAAAAACAAGCGAGACAGTAAAATCAAGTATCAACAATAACGAGGCATCCGCTCTGCTTTACAATATCTGGCACATTGAACATACTTTACACTGAAAGTATTCTGCACTTCGTACACATGTCATTACTCTTAGTGTAACACACGTACAACGCTCTGTTCAAAGCTGCCAAACGTCAAGTTGCATTTAAACTGTACATTCAGGTGAAGCTGCTCTGTTCATTGCCGCATTGTGCTCATCTTGTTCCCGCAGATTATAGCATTTGACGAGCTGAAGACCGACTACAAGAATCCTATAGATCAGTGTAACACTTTAAATCCGGTGAGTGACCCCCGCACTACCTGACACCCCCTTGCCTCTGTGACTGCATGCAGATTTGCTCTGACAGATACTTCATTTATTTCAGGAGTTTTTTATCCACCTATCTGTCTTTTCTCAATCATTTCTCTGCACTGTTATGCTAAATAACCTGCCTGTTGTGAATTCAGTGATCTCGTCAGCTGTCAAACTCTAACGCCTTTTTGTTGTTTTGTTTTCCCCCCCAATCTGCTTTTTGTTTTTATGTTTTTTACACTTTAACGGCAAAAAGACAGTTGAAAAGGTCAAAAAGATTAAAAGAGTCAAAATTGCATTAAAGGTTTGTACCAGTCTTTTTAGAATGCCCGCTCAGTTCGACTCAGTCTGCAGTCTTGTCATTTTGCACGGGGAAGTGTTTGCAAACGTCTTTTCAGTTAACTAATCTGAGAGTTAGGGTCAGAGTTCAGCTCGGGATTAGACAACGTGCCACCTGTGCCCCAGGTTCTCTACTGTCGAGTTGATTTTCTTCTTACGCTCGTCCTCACTTATCTTACTTTCAGGGAATATTTTTCACTGCTGTGGATTTCAAGTATATCAGTCAATCTTTCAATTCTGCAAGCCTCAAAGTGTCTTTTTAAGATGTAAACATTTAATAAAATATTACTTCTGTTCATCTTATTTAACAGTTAAATTGACTGTTTTAAGATATTAAACAGCTTTTAAAGCATAGAGGCCATGGTACTCGTGAAAAGCTTTAGAATATGAAGGTGGATAAGAATATTCTCTTGGATGAAATATTCATTTTTATTGATTATTGATTAATTTAGTTGTTAACTGAAAAGACTTGCAAATGCTCAAAACATGCATGATCTTTTACAACCTACCCTTTGTTTGCATATACTGTTACTGGAACAGTAAATTTCCAGTAAACACAGAAATTTACAGTTACATGACACCAGGCTTATACTGTCCTGACAAAGACTTTATATAATAGTTGTCATAGAAATAATATAAAGAGAAATCAGTAGAGCCAGAGTGATTCATAATATTAATCGCCATATCTGAGCCTCTGTTTGCTGGAATGCCTCGATATGAACACATTACATTTTATGTGAAAGTTTTTTTTTGTTAGTTATTTATTGTAACTCCCTAACGTTGGTATCAGCCCCCAGAAATCTGGTGATTTGATTTTTGTTGCGAAGCTTTTTGAATGGTGGATATTTGTAGCTGTGGTTCGAGGCGACTTTCTATTCCATCTTTAAATTAAAACATTTCTTAATATGTCACTTTTCTGTCAGGTGGAGGCTGCAGTTTGTTTCAGCACTTAGCAGAACTAGGCTCCTGTGCATGAGCTCAGTGTTTGGCTCGAACCTCCGTCACCTGTGGTTCAGAGCAGATGGCTGCAGAACACGCTCCGGCTCAGCAAAATTTGTCACCACTGATTGGTTCATAATTTCACTAGTAGGAGGAGTTACTTAGATAAAAGCAGAGATTCCTCTCTCTCTCTAATCCACGATGCACTCGACAGTACGATCTGTTCTTCCGACCACACTGGTCGTTCTGTGTGTCCGACACTCAGGTGGCAATTTAACAATGTTTGTGCTGTGATCAGTTCTGTATTTGGCAGCACAGTGCAGGATTTCAATACATCCTAGCCCCCCCCTTTCCTCCTCCCACATGCCCTTCACCTTTCCATCTGTGGGCTGTTGGTTGCCCCCCCCCCCACACACTCCCCACCCTTCTGCTCTTTTTTCAAATGCATGGCTTCCATGTGGTGCCTCCATCTGCCCCCCCTGAACCCCGCACCAGTTCAAACTCTGTCAACCCGAGGGGGGGGTTGCTGCATCAACACTGCTAGTGCTCGCAGCATGGTGTTTCTACGGTGTGTCTCCCAGCCCCCCCCCCCCTGTTTGTCAGGGAGCGGGCAGCCTGTAGGCTCTGCCCTCGCTGCAAAATATGTTGATGTGTGAGATGCAGAGCAAGATGTTGATGGGTTTCTGTCTTTCACTTGTGGTCAGACTTGATGATGCATGACACAGGATTTACTAAGATTATAAATCAGTGGTAAAGGTTAAATGTAATAGATTATCTGTAACAGTTTCATTACGTTGCCACGTTAGATTAACGATTTAAACATCATCATTAAACATCAAATGAGTGAGGTGGTTTTTTCTCTCCTCAGTTTTAACCAAACCCTCAGATTTTGGTTCAGGTGGTGTCTCTTGTTTTTTTCTTCACATTTGATCAAATCAGTGCTGTGTTGTATTTTATGTGCAGCACGATGCCTATGACATTAATAGTGTGTAGTCCTGAAACAAAGCTCAGCCCGACACTAACGCAGAGTTTAGTTCATGTGTATTTCACTCTGTGGAGCTGGCTGCAATTTTTAGATTTCTGACTCTTTAAATAGCTCAATTTCTTTTTTTATAAAATGGCCTCATTGCCTGTGAGACTGTAACTGTCTTCTGAACGTCTCACAATTCACTTTATTTATTACCTGTGACTCCACTCTTGATATTTAAGTATTTTGTGACGACAGCCGACAAGTTTCGTTCGACATTAGTCAAAAACAGTGTGATGAGAATGAGCTGGACTGAATGTTCATCACCTGACGATTCTGACATGTTGTCTAATTTTCTTTGCAGCTGGTGCTTCCAGAGTATCTCATCCATTTCTTCTTCTGTGTGATGTTCTTCTGTGCGGCCGAGTGGCTCACCCTCTGTCTCAACCTGCCGCTGCTGGCTTATCATGTTTGGAGGTGGGTATCTGATCGAGAGGACTCCGTGGTGTTTGGTCCTTCAATACAATTCAGAACCATTAACTGCATCTTAACCATCACCCTGATGATTCTGCCTTTCACAACAAACACTTAATGCACCTCTGTGACGCAGGTATATGAGCAGACCTGTGATGAGCTGCCCAGGACTCTACGACCCAACAACCATCATGAATGCTGACATCCTGGCGTACTGTCAAAAAGAAGGCTGGTGCAAACTGGCTTTCTATCTCCTGTCATTCTTCTACTATCTCTATGGGTACGTTTTTTAAGTTATTTATATATATAAGAAATTAAGGTATTAAAATGATGTGCATCATATCCCAAACAATCCAAACTAAGTAATGTGTCCCAACAGGATGATCTACGTGCTGGTGAGCTCTTAAACCGGACGATGAAGGACAAGGACCTGCATGTACAGTAGACGACCAGACACTATGAACTTAGTGCTGCTACACTGGACCTGCTAGAGACCACCGCTCAACAACACAAGGCGCCATTTCAAGCGGACGAACTCTCCAACCCCCCCCCCCTCAAACATTTAGCCCGTCTTAAAAGAAAATCATGGTTGAGGCGTTCTTCTCATAACATTACAGTCTAACATTTTATAGAAAATAAGGACAAAACCTCATCAACGGACAAGTTTTCTTTTTTTTCTTTTAAGGGTGTGGTGATTTTTTGATACTTGGGATTTAAATAAAGTTTTGTTTTCATCTTGGTTCCCAGGTGTGCGTTTACCTGAGAATCTGAGCTGCGTTCGCTTTTTTCTGCTGATTACATTCGGAGCTTTAACAGCTAATTTCTGCCACGTCAGTCACGACCGCCACTAAAACAGCAAAGTGCAAACCGGACTCCTGCTCACAGATGGATATTAAAATGAACATGAAGGTACAGTTCTGTACAGAGAGACGTGCGTTAGGTTATCACTTAGAGGAAGGTGTTGCACAGGGACAATCGTCGTCTGGTTGTTACTGCATCTGTTTCCACGCTGTCTGATGAATCGTCTCCATGTTTCAGACCCATCTGTCACATTAAATCATATAATCTCCGCTGAAGTTATGTTTTAAGTGTGAATCCAGAGTAGAAAGCAACGTGTGTCGACCTGTGTTTGTGTAGAATCACCCCCGCAGCTGTCGATCTTTTAAAAGGTAGACTCAACAGAACCAGAATACTCAACATTTTAATTCTCTTGCTTTCTGCATTTGGGTTTTGAGTCTGAATCTGCTCATGTGCCACACTGTTGAACGGACCTTTTAGAATTCCTCCGCTGTTCTTGTCATTGTGCGTCTTGTTAATTTCAACACCAAATATTCAAGTGTTAGGAACGCCAAGTTTTATTTATTCAATGTTTTTCATTTTTACTTTTGTCCCCACGATATCAAACACTCCTCCGTGTTGCTCATGTCAGGAATCAAAAATCTGCAAAGTAATCTTTTTAGAGTGGAGGCCATTAGACTTAAGTTTTCAGAAATAGAATATATATTGCCATTTTTAAATGTGTAAATTTATCAGGGAAAGGGATGACGATCATTTGTCACATAATGTTTCTATGTATTAGATCCCATTCGTGTCGCATCTAGGAAATGACAACTTGAGTTTATTTGAATCTAAATAAATTTATCCCACTCTTTACAATGGACTGGATTATTGGTTATTTTAGATTTTAAAGTAAAAGACATTTTATCTCATTAAACTAAAAGGTAAATATAATAAACTCTTTGCCAACACACACATGATTTCCTCATTTCTTTATTCCATTACAATGAGGAGACAACAAATCAATATATTAGAGTATTCTGTTAAAGTGCAGTCATTAGAGAATGCAGTTATAAACACCCACAATCAAAGACAAATCAATATTTTCCATTATTTTTCCCGTGTTGAGCATCATCGAGACACTGAGCGCTCTGTGGAAACCTCTCTGCTCTCCTGGTACGCTGTGTACTTTTCTCGAAACTCGTGCAGGAAGTTGTATTGCTGTGAAAAGAAAAAGTGAATTTTATTCATAAATATGTTACAAACAAGTTCAAATTCAAGAATTGACAGAAAAGAAGCTGCAGCAAACTGGCCACAAACATTTTCAATTAAGTTTCTCTGACACCGCATTAAAAAAAAAAAGAGATTGAGATTTCAAAGATCTAATAATACATTGGCAACATATTTAACATGAACGATTCTGAAAATTGTGTTATAAAATAACTGATCAGTTTAGGGACAAATAACACTTCAATGAATGACTCAACTGATCTTTACTATTTAAAAACTGCGGCCTGGAAGGAGGAGGAAACATAATCTATAGCTTTATGTCGTGCAGTGGAAGAAGAAGAGCGGCCGCTCACCTTCACAGTCTGTATCGCTCCTCCTCCTCTGTGCTCCCTGAGGATCTCGATGGCTTTGTTTGCCGTCATTGTTGTCGAGAGCTGAAGCAGCAGACAGGCGGCGACTGAACAGAAACACGACACCGTCATGTGATCAGAGCGGCGAGAAACACTAGTGGAGAGCATTTAGCATTTTTTTTCTACAAGTGGTCAAACCTCAGTAGATAATGATTCGTACTGGCTTAAAACTTCAATTTGCACGCAGTGATTAGATAAAAGATTAAAAGGGTAACTTTCAAAGTACAAATAGAATATTCTTACTTAATCCAGATCGTCCCAGGCCTCCATAACAGCTGAGGGGGAAGAGAGAAAAAAGCGCAAAGTCCAATGAAACGCACGGTTGAAAGCAAAATTGATCAAATGGTTAACGAGACGTTAAAATCCCTCTTGTGGTTGTCGAGCGCTTGATTTTAAAATTCGCCAGATGAAAATAAAAGATACACAAGTATTAAAACACAGAAAAGAGAAAGTATAAACTCATCTTCACTTTCCCAACTGTTTTCTTATCTAGAACCGAACCGATTTAGGGATTGGCCGTTAAAAACCGGCCGATATGAGCCGTAGACAGAGGAATCGGTTTCTGCGTTTGTTTGCAGGCAACTTTCATTTTATAAAATAAAAGTGTAGAAAACTTTCATTTTCTGAATTCAAGTTCTTCATATTTGGTTGTATTTGTGTTTTTTTCTCAAATACTTTATCGTCAGAAGTGTTTGATAGAAGGATCGTTGCCATATCACACATTCTATTCAGAGTCAGAGTTTTAGTTGGATGGATGATGTCACTCACTGGATCACCGTCCTCCTGTTGTTCTCGAGGCCGACCTGCAGCTGCTCGAGGATCTGGCAGCACTGCTTCAGCTCAGGAGCGTCTCCGTCTGGGAAGGGCGTGTGGTGGACGGTGAAGCCTCGCTGCTGGTAGACGTCCAGCAGGGAGGGAACCCTGTACTTGTTAAGTTCCCCTCTGGTGCAAAAAACAAACACGTCCTGGACGCCCTGGTTCTGGAGCTCCTCTGTCAACAAGAGACGCAGAGAGACATTTAGAATCAGATTCAAACTCAAGGTTTCCTGAGACTGATCTAGAACCAGACCCTCAGACGTACAGAAGCTTTAGACCATAAACCAATAAATATATAATAATAAAAAAGCTGCTAATCACAAAAAATGTACAATGAATTAACTTTTCTATAAACTCAGACACTTCAGAGAGAATCAAGTTCCTCTTACCGACGTCTCTCTGCAGACTCCTGCGGATCTCTTTGTATTTGCAACCTGAAGTCAGATAGAGGTAAATTTTACTGAGATTCAAAAACCATGAGGAAAAAACAGGAAGTGTAAAACGATGAACTGCAGCTTTACCTGGTAGTGCACATATCCCCAGAAACTGTGAGCACTCCACCATGGACAGAGGTAACCTGAGAGCCCATCACAATACACGTGTTCAGTTTCATAACAAATACTTCTTCAATCTACTACTGCAATCCTGAGAGAAAATTACACACACACACAAAAAAACCCACAAACGTCTGATAACGTACCAGGAGACGTGAAAGGGCGTCAGCTGCTCCTCTCCGATCTCATCGTCCTCTGACGAAGAGTCAAACTCACTCGTCCTCATAACTTCAGAGCAAAACACTGACGGGAAAACAAAACAAAAAAAGAAATATATTAATATTCAGGTTTGAATCACAGCACAAAAAACTTTT